AAGATTGAAAAACCGAGAATTGAAAAATCAAAAAACCGAAAAATGGAAAAATCAAAAATCGAAAAATAGGAAAACCGAAAATTCGAAAATTCATAATATTGAAAACTCGAAAAATCGACAATGTACAAATCAAAAAACTGGAAAGTAAAATAATCGAAAAACCGAAAAGTAAACAAATTGCAAAGCCTAAAAACTGACGAACAGAAAAATCGAAAAATCGTAAAATCAAAAAGTGGAAAATCGAAAATTGGAAATTGAAAAATCGAAGATTGGAAAATCGAAAAATCGAAAATCGGAATATCGAGAATCGACAAATTAAAAAACCGAAAAATCGAAAAATTAAAAAATCGGAAATCGAAAAATGAAAAAAAACGAAAATTCAAAAATCGAATAATCCGAAACTAAAATAATAGAAAAGTGGAAAAGTAAAAATTCCAAAATCTCAAAACTGACGAACAGAACAATCGAAAAATAAAAAAAAATCGAAAAATATCTAAACATGGAAAATCGAAAAATCAAAAATCGGAAAATTGAAAAATCGGAAATCGAAGAATTAAAAACGTAAAATCGAGAATTCAAAAATCAAAAAAATCGGAAAGTAAAATATAATCGAAAAATGCAAAAAAATTGCAAAGTCTAAAAACTAACGAACAGAAAAATCAAAAAATCTAAAAATGGAAAAACGAAAAATCGAAAATTGAAAGAATGGCAAATTAAAAAATCGAAACATCGAAAAATCAAAAAAACGAAAAATTAAAAAATCGAAAAACGAAAAAACTGAAAACTCGAAAAATCAAAATACCGCAAATTTGAAAAATCAGAAAATTAGAAAGTAAAAAAATCGAAAAGTTGATAGAAAAATGGAAACTGAAAAATCTAATTCGATGAAACTGTTGGCCGAAAAAACGAAAAATCGAAAATCGAAGTGACCTTTTTTGAGACAGGCTGTATAAGTAAATCTAAAAAATATTATTGCAATGATAAATCACAGGTATAGACTCATCATACCAAATTTTACGATGACGTCATGCATTTTTTGGCGAAGATAAGCAAATACATTTTGATCTTGGCTTTGAGAGTATTCTTCGACTTTCGTTCCATTTCAAAATTTACTCTTTGTATATTTCAGTGGTCACAACGAGTTCACTAACTACGCTGAAGTATGCAAAGATTAAATTTGTCACCGAAAAGATGTTGGAAGTGATAAATTATCCTATCGGTCGAAGAACGTTCGGTCCGGTGTTACACCTCGACCCAAGAGAGACCGCAGTAAAGGATAACAAATGGAACGGATAAAATAAAGCGTCAAATATGATTGATAAACTTTAAACCAAAATTAAAAAGTTTATAAACTGAAAATTTTTTTTGCTTTTTGAAATGTAGTCCACTTCAAAAAATGTCCGTGACTTACTTTAATGTGAATTTTATAACTATGGTCGGCACAATTAGACCTAAGCGTATAAACAGCTTAAACAGCAACTCGATGCTAGGATTGCAACTGGTGAAAAGGATCTGAAAATACGATATGTGAAAGGTTCACCGAAAATTATTTCTTTAAACTGAAGAATACACCCAGTAACAAAAAACTTAATACACTTCGCTGCTTCTATCAGAATGTGAGAGGACTACGATCTAAAGTTAATGATTTCTATAATTCTATTTGTTCACAGAATGATTTTGATGTAATAGTGTTAAGTGAAACATGGCTTGCTAGCGATATTGTCAATAGTGAATTATTTCCCTCTTATTTCACTGTTTTTCGAAAAGATAGAAATTTTCGAGTGTTAGCAGTTTCACGCGGTGGAGGTGTTTTAATTGCTGTTCGAGCATGTTTTAAAACACTGTCATTAGATCTGTCAGCTATTTATGAAATTATTCCCAATGTTGATGTTGTAGGTGTCAAACTGCTGCTCAAGGGTCAGAGCCTAATTATTCTTTCAGTGTACATGCCACCGCAAACGTCATTTCAGGAGTTTGATTTATTTCTTGACACTTTAAATGCTATTGAGGATTTTAAATTCTGTAAGTTGCTTATATTAGGGGATTTTAACGTGCCTGAGTTTTCACTCGGCATTTCAAATCAATTCACGGCTTCTCTTAACAACTTTTTACAATTTAATATTCTATCACAATTCAACACAATACAAAATACGCGGCAACGCATCTTGGACTTAGTTCTGTCTAACTTGAAATGCCAGGTTGATAGTGCAGATTTTGATCTTGTTGATGCCGACGATCATCACCCTTCTTTATCCATACTTACTGTTTTAGAGACTCCATTACGTGAATTTCCATTAAATGATATGACTAATCAATTCAACTTCAAAAAAGCTGACTTTCGATTGCTATATGATTTGCTTGGGTCAACCAATTGGGACTTTTTAGAGGCTAACATTGATGTTGATAAAGCATGCTCACTTTTCTATGATAAGCTTCATGAAATTTTTCTTCTTACTGTTCCAAAATCGGTGCCCAAACGTAATAGTCACTCCTGGCCTCCCTGGTTCAATCAGGAAATAATTGCAACTATTAAGGCAAAGGATGCTTGTCACAGGCTGTATAGAAAATGCAACACTGATTATTACAGGAATGCATTTAAATTGTATCGTTCTCGGTGTAAGCATCTTATTAAGGCGTCGTACAAAGAATATATTCACAGAACTGAGAACAATATCTCAACGGACCCTAAATCGTTTTGGGCATTTGTTCAATCTAAAAAAGGGGGTACTAGGATTCCTGGGGTGATGCATTTTAATGACTCACAACTTACTTCACCAGAGGAAATTGTAAACGCGTTTGGTGAGTACTTTAATAGTGTATACATTGCCTCCAATGATGATCTGTGTCCCTCTTTTGCCTCTGACAAGTCCAGTCAACTATTTGTGTCTATTGATTCTCTAACTGAAAATGATGTTTTTCTAGCCTTGAAAAAGTCAAAGAATTCTTGTACTGCTGGGTTGGATGGCATTCCTAGTTTCCTCCTGAGTGACTGTGCATGTATCTTTGCCCATCCCTTGCTAAAGATCTTTAATCTCATATTAAAGCAATGTAAGATGCCTGATTGTTGGAAAAAGACTTGTATCTGCCCGGTATTCAAAGCAGGTGATGTCTCTGATATTGATAAGTATAGACCCATTAGTTTATTATGTAATTTTGCAAAAACATTTGAGACTGTTCTGTATAAATACATTTATTCTGCTGTCAAATCTCATATAACTGAATATCAACATGGTTTTTTTCAGGGTAGATCTACGATTACAAACCTGGCGTGTTTCTCTCAATATGTTTCTGTTTGTCTTGATAATAGGGGTCAAGTTGACACTATTTACACGGATTTTCGTAAAGCATTTGACCAAATTGATCATTATATCTTGATTGCTAAATTACAACAGTTTGGATTTTCCACTCCTCTGATCAACTTTTTCCGTTCATATCTAACGAACAGAGTCCAAGTCGTTAAATATCGTAACTTTTATTCACAACCATTTTCTCCTACCTCTGGTGTGCCGCAAGGGTCGAACTTAGGTCCATTATTGTTTCTTCTGTTTGTTAATGATATTGTTGATGGTCTATCATGCGAGAAACTTTTATATGCGGATGACCTCAAGTTGTTTATGGAGATTAAAAATATTAACGATAGCGTGACTCTTCAAGCTAATATTCAGATTATTTTACAATGGTGTATTCGTAATCGTTTATCTCTTAACCAAGACAAATGTTTCGTTGTGTCCTATACAAGAAAACTTAATCCTAGTATATTTCTTTACACCATAGCCAATACTGAGTTACATCGTTGTGACAATTTTAAAGATTTAGGCATTACGTTTGATTCTAAATTTAATTTTGTGAAACATATAGATGATGTAATAGCAAAATCTTTTAGGATGTATGGTTTTGTCTACAGAAATTGTAGGGAGTTCTCAAATATAAGAACTTTATGTAATTTATATTTTCCGCTTATTAGATCTAGATTGGAATATGGTGCTATAATTTGGTATCCTTTATATGATGTGCATGTTAAGAATATCGAAGCTGTTCAGCGTAAATTTCTCAAATTTTTATGTTATTGTGTAGATAAAGTTTACCCTGAAAGGGGGTGTGATCATGCTGCCCTTCTGAGTAGGTTTGAATTTCTAGCTCTCCAGGATCGGCGCAATATTATTGTCATTAAATTTGTTTTTAATTTATTCAACAACAAAATAGATTGTCCGAGCCTTCTGGATAAATTTAACTTGGTCGTACCTCGTATTAATTCACGCCAATTTCAAACTTTTTATAGTCCACCATATAAGACAAACGTATTACGTAAATCTCCAGTAGTTGTTATGTGTAATAAGTTTAATGAAATATCTACTCACTGCGATATACATTACGATTCGCTATCGGTTATAATCAAATCCTTTTTTTGTATTAGTAAGTAGTAAGATTTATAGTTTGTAGTTTTGTGGGAGCTTTTATTATTAATAATGCCTTATGTTATACTTAAGTTCACTGACTTTGGAATTGTATGTTATTTATTTACTGTTTGCGGTTGATTTGTGCCTAAGTTTTAGTTTTCCTTGTTATTGGGTGTAAACCTGTTAGGAATAAAGCCTTATTATTATTATTAATAAAGCCTTATTATTATTATTAGTGTGATTTTGAGCATATTCTCGATGTTATTAGAGCAGGACAGGTTTTTTTTTTCTAACTAATTGACAAGATTTCAAAGTATTCAGTTTTGCAATTCTTGATTTCTTCAATAAAATAAATTGACTCAGTCATTTTTTTTTGAGTCACCCTGTATGTATAAACAAATCCAAAAAATATTAATGGAATGGTAAATCACAAGTATAGACTGACCATATTCTGAACATTTTAGATAGGGTAAGAATTTGGTCAACACGTAAATTTCGTTGTAGTTTGAGCCTACCTACAAATTCTGCCCTTGGACGATTTGGACTGCCTCCTTCGGTGACGACCGGCAAAAATGATCCGCCCATAGGCTCAAAACACTTTACCGGCCTCGCGGTGTCCTTCACATATTCGAAAAGATGTCCGGCAGCTTGACAGGCGGTCCTGCACACGTGAGAACGCGGACTTTTCAGTAAATCGATAACTCGCTGGTTAATGCTTGACATGTATCCATACACGAGGTCTACGTCAACAATTCGACATATTTCAACGATTTCGCCCAAACCTCTCAGTGCCAACCTCCTATAAACAAAAAATTAAATACAAAAGTGCTTACATGTACGATTACCAGTCCAATTCTTGAAGCTTCGCGATCGCAAACGAGATCGTGTTGTCGTTGAAAGACGAATTTGAGTGTTTGCCGCTGCCTGAAAGACTAAGAACGTCCTGAAATACTGTGTTTAGTACGAATATACGATAGTGTAAAAACGTACGTCCGAAAACCTATTGCTACGTCCGCTCTTTGTGATCACCACGTCTTCTCGGTCCTTCAGAGGGATGCGTTCCGGGTGTCTAGTTGCATTGATCAAAGTCGTTGAGCTGCTTACGTCACTTTTGCTTTGGTCTATGTACGGAATCTTCCTAGACGACTCAAATCTTCTCTTATCCGCTGTCGGTTTCGGGCTTGTGGATTTTCCGCGACGAATCGGAGGTATCAAAGAATTCGTACTTTGTATCTCCCCCATGATACTTTTAATCTGAGTGGCTCTAGTAGGCCACATGAAACTGCACCCCCCAAAACGCGCCATGGATCGTCTAGTACGTACGTAAGTATTGTATGGTATTTCCAACGACTTGCTGCTCTTCTTAGTCGCTTTGTGTTTGGTATGTAGTACTTCAGCTGGTTCCGTAGACCCTTGGATGTAATTTGGGTGTTGAAAATCATCAATGGAAGATTTACTCTTGAACTCTTCTTTTGGTTCCTGTGACAATTCAAATACCCTATTTCGAGTTTTTTCCAAAAATGTTTCTGTTAGGGTCTTGTCTCCAAAGTTCCCGTTTGTCTTTTTCGAGGTGTTAAAGACACAGTCTTGTTCGGTACAGGAACCGTCTAGAGTGAAATTGGATAGTCTGCTAGCCACAGAATAAGGACAGTTTTCTAGGGAGTAGTTATTGTAGTAATCGCGTGGAGATTGTTGTAGACTATCTGGCGTCATTTCGGCTGCATCAATAGTTGGGGAAGGAGGGGCATCTTCAGTTTTCTCTTGACTGGTGATACCTTCGCCTATAATTTCAATCTGAAGCCCGATTCTCATAGGTGAAACACTTCTACTTTTCTGGGCCCCCAGAGTACCTTCGTTTATACATAGCGGTATTTGCACGTCTTGGGTTTTGGGTACCACTTGGCGCACGTTTTGAGGTACAGGTACCACGTTCGGACAACTAGTCAAGCAGTACTTACTCTGTTCTACGGTACAGTTGGCTTGTAGGTTACAGTTCCCCGACATGCGACGGATGGTTAATGAGGGCTTCGTTCGACTACCATTATTCGTAAGGGTAAAGCTCCGAGAGTGCGAACCCGTGTTAGCTCCGTCAACTATTGCTGGTTCTCCTATTTCCGAGGTTTGGATCTGGGCGTCTGCATGAGGTCCATTTTCGTTGTGAGCCAGCTGGAGTATAGTTTTGCTTGTCTGGGTGCTACACTCTTTCAACTGTCTGCCACACTTCGCAGGCGTTTTCTGGAATATTTTTTCGTTGATGTATAGCACTTCTGGGTCTGGATCGATGATCGGTGACGACTTTAAGTTACTTGGTCGCACGTGATTCCTCTGCTGGTGATTGGTTCGATACACATTGTACGAGAAAATCGATTTTGAATGGGTGTTGTCGTTTTTTGGGATACCCGGGTTGATGTTACGCATTGTTTTTTGATTTACATGTTATTTAATCACATGACACTGACAATGCCATTGCCAAATCTGACAGTGGAGAAAATGCTGTACATTTAGCTGGAACGTAACGTTAGTCAACCGTTTAAGGTATGGAAGATGTACGGAAGTTCTTGTTAATTTTACCGTCTGCGTGCCGACGAATATTTGCGATGGTTACTTAGTATCGCTTATTTTTTATAATAATAATTTGTTTTCGGAAAACAGAAATTAAACAGTTTACTTTTGGTCGAAACGAAGAAAAATTCACACCACGAACTACTTCAGTGAACTATAATTTTGTTTTTGACATGGCACACAGACATGACACAAAATTTGACAAGGAATTAACCTTAAGGGTGCGATAAGCCAACTTGGCTGTTTTAAGTAAGAATACAATGAAATCATGAAAAAAACCTGCCACATATTATGCTCTTTACCCGGTCTTCTTGACAAAACCGCAAACGTAAACATTAAGGGGACTCGCTAGACGAGGTATAACATTTTTTTGGTTTTTTGTATGAAAAAATGATTAATATAGATGTATCATACATCAAACTGCACTACAAAATATGATGAGTCTGTCCTTGTAATTTATCATTCCATTCATAATTTTTCGATTTGGATATACAGGGTGACTCAAAAAATTTAAGGAAGTACAAAACCGAATGCTTTGAAATCTAATGCGAAAAAAAAAAACATAATAGGCATGCAGTCGTCACGTTTCCGATAACGAAGGAAGTACTGTCTAAACTCTTTAGACCATTTTTTTTTTATTTTCCCATTTCTCCATTTCTCAATTTTTCAATATTTCAGCTTTGGAATTTTGCAATATTTCGTTTCTTCAATTTTTCAAATTTTTGATATTGTGTTTTATCGGTTTTTAAATTTTTCGATATTTTAATTTTTCACTTTTTAAAGTTTTAGGTTTTTAGATTTCTCACTATCTCGCCTTTCGACTTTTCAGTTCCATGATTTCTCAATTTCTCGAATTTTTAAATTTTAGATTTTTTGTTTTCTTTGATGTACTGGGTTCTCGATCATTCGATTTTCTGAGTTTTCAGGCTTGGATTTTTTTTGTTGTTCAATTCTTGGATTTTTAACATGTTTGTTTTTTAAATTTTCCTATTTATCAATTTACTGGGATTCCAATGTTCTGATTTTTTGATTGTTCAATTTCTCGATTTTTTGAATCTTTAGTTTTTGATACGATTTTTTTTTTCAAAAATTTTCAGTTTTTCAATTTATTAACCTTAAGATACTTCAGTTTTACTCGATTTCGATTCCTCAATTTTTCGACATATTAGGTACTGTTGGGATTTTTCAATTTATCGATTCTTCGATTTCTCGATTCTACATATTTTCGGTTTCTCGAATTTCTTCATTTTTCGATTTCTCAATTTTCCGATATTTCAGGTTTACGATTTTTAATTTTTTTTATTTTTCAGTTTTCAATTTTTGACGTTTCTAAATTTTTCGATTTCTCAATTTTTCGATTAACTGATTTCTTGATTTTTCCATTTCTCTATTTCTCGATTTCTCAATTCTTTCTTCAATTGTGATTTTTCAATTTTTCGATTTCTGAATTTTTCAATGTTTCAGTTTTGGATTTTTTCACTTTTCCGATTCTTCAATTTTCTTTCCATTTTTCAGTTTTTCAGTATTTCAGTTCTGGGATTTTGCAATGTTTCGGTTCTTCAATTTTTCTATTTTTTGATGTTTCGATTTCTCGGTTTTTCAATTTTTCGATAGGTACGAGTTTTTTAATTTTTCAATTTTTAAGTTCTAGATTTTCCGTTAATTTTTTTGTTTTCCTTGATGTTTTGATTTGTCAATTTTTCAAGTTCTCGGTTTAGATTTTTTGGTTTTCCAATTCTTCGATTTTTAAATTGTTTAATTTTTAGATTGTTCAATTTCTCGATTTTTGGATTTTTCAATTTTTCGGTTTACCGATTTTTTTTCATTTAAAATGTTTCAATTTTTCAATTATTAACTTTTCGATTTTTCAATTTTCGTCTAATTTTGATTTCTTAATTTTTTTTATTTTTTGACTCATCTACTGTTAATGTTTTGATTTAATAATAATAATAATAATAATAATAATATTTTTTTTTTCGATGTTTCAGTTTTTGAACATTCCGATGTTTCGATTTTTCGACTTTTTGGCTTTTCGAGTGTTCAATTTTTGGATTTTTGAATTTTAGATTTTTGTCTTTTTGATTTTTTGCTTATATTTTCGAATTCTCAAAATTTTGTGATTTTTTAAATTTTACATATTTAGATTTTTCAATTTTTTTATTTTCTGATTCGTGGACGTTTTGATTTCTCGATTTTGTAAATTTTCAATTTTTCGAATTCTCAAAATTTGAGATTTTTCACTTTTTTGTTGTTTCGATTTCTCAGTCTTGCGATTTTTTGCTTTCTCATTTTTATATTTTTGGGAATAAATTTTTCAGTTTTTCGATATTTTGATTTTTCAAATTTTTGATTTATCGGGTCTTTTATGTTTAAATTTTTCAATTTGAAATTTTCCCATTTTTCAATTTTTAGCTATTTCGATATCTCAATTTTTAGATTTTTGACTTCTCGACTTACAATTTTGATTTTTCGAGTTTCCAATTTTTAGACGTTATAGTTTTGAAATTTATGTATTTACATTTTTCGATTTTTCAATTTTTGGCGTTTCTAAATTTTTGGATATTTCAAGAATCCGATTTTTCAATTTTTCGACAATTCGATATTTTAATTTTTTGATTTTTGGATTTTTTAGATTTTTAAAATTCTTGATTTTTTAATTTTTCAGTTTTAACAATATTTACAATGCATCAGAATGTTCTGAATACAGAAAGTCGAAAAATCTAAAAATTTAAAAATCGAGATACGTATTGAGAAATCCCAAAATTGAAAAATCCCAAAACTTCAACACTGAAAATTTGAAAATCGAAAAATTGAGAAATGAAGAAATCCAAAAACTTAGAAACAAAAATTGAAAAATCGAAAAGATGAATTTGGAAAAACTGAGAAAATCGAAATCGAAAAATGCAAGATTTAAAAACTCGCAAAATCAAGTAAAAAATAAAAAAACAAAGTCGAAAAATCTAAAAATTTTAAAATCGAATTAGTTAGTTTGTGGGTGCCTCATGCTTTCGTAGTTTCTTTTAAATTGGAAACTGATGAGAATATTCTTATCGTGAAAGCGAGAGACTCGTTAAATAAGTATAAGCATAAGATAAGTGTAACATACTTCTATACTTTTGGTTTATGAATCTGCCTTCATTTTTATCCTAGACATACATATACCATGTTAAAACTTAATCTTCAATAAAGGCCGAAATTCCCAGATTTAAACAAATTTCTAACAACAAAATCATAGAAGGAATAGAAATTTATAGTTTTTTCTTAATGTTAAATATAAAATTCAGTTCAACGCCTGAAAACCAATGTCTGAAATATACTCTATATTCCTTACCAATTTTTAAACTTGGAATTTCGACCTTATAACAAAATTTCTATTATTATTTTCGATATTCAACATCCGGTATTTTCATTATAAAATTCAAAATTACCGCAAAAAAATTGTTAATTCGGACAATAAACTTTAGAACTGTAACCAACAAATTTTTTTGATTTTAAAAATTTTAGAATCTTCAATTTTTTGTTGTTTCGATTTCTCAATCTTTCGATTTTTTGCCTTCTCGGTTTTAGATTTTTCAATTTTTAGGATTTAATTTTTCAGTTTTTCGATATTTCGATTTTTCAATTTTCGATTTAACGTTTTTTTTCGATTTTTGGCCTTCTCGTTTTTGGATCATCACATTGTATATTAATATACGAGCACTGGTTTGTGGAGAACGCCGGGGCTCGAAAATTTTAGAGTACAGTAATGTTGCGCCCGCCTATATTTAATAATGATAAAATAAAAATTGTCATAATAACATCGACTTACCCAAAATAATATTCAGAACATTTTGATGCATTGTAAATATTGTTAAAACCGAAAAATTAAAATATTAAAATGAGAAAGCAAAAAATCGCAAGACTGAGAAATCGAAACAACAAAAAAGTGAAAAATCTAAAATTTTGAGAATTGGAAAAATTGGAAATTTACAAAATCGAGAAATCAAAACGTCAACGAATCAGAAAATAAAAAAGTTGAAAAATCTAAAAATGTAAGATTCAAAAAATCACAAAATTTTGAAAAATCGAATAAGCAAAAAATAAAAAAAAAACAGAAAGTCGAAAAATCTAAAAATTTCAAAATAGAGATACGTATTGAGAAATCCCAAAATTGAAAAATCCCAAAACTTCAACACTGAAAATTTGAAAATCGAAAAATTGAGAAATCGAGAAATCAGAACGACGAAAAATCGAAAAGTCGAAAAATAAAAAAATACATTAATCGAGAAATTGAGAAATCGAAAAATCCAAAAATTTAGAAACAAAAATTGAAAAATCGAAAAGATGAATTTTGAAAAACTGAGAAATCGAGAAATCGAAATCGAAAAATGCAAGATTTAAAAACTCGCAAAATCAAGTAAAAAATAAAAAAAAAACAAAGTCGAAAAATCTAAAAATTTTAAAATCGAATTCTAGAAATATCCCAAAACTTAAACAGAGAAATCGAAAAATCCAAAAATTTAGAAACACCAAAAATTGAAATACATAAATCCCAAAACTGAAAGGTTAAAAAATTGGAAAATCGAAAAATCGAAAAGATAAAACCTCGTAAAATCAAGTGAAAATAAAAAAAAAGAGTCGAAAAATCTAAAAATTTAAAAATAGAATTCTGGTAAAATCCCAAAATTGAAAAATCCCAAAACTTACACAGAGAAATCGAAAAATTGAGAAATCGAAATAGCTAAAGAGCGAAAAATGGGACAATTTAAAACTGAAAAATTTGAACTTAAAAAACCCGAAAAATCGAAAAATCTAAAAATGAGAAGGCAAAAAACCACAAGACTGAGAAATCGAATAAGCAAAAAAGTGAAAAATCTAAAATTTGAAAATTCTAAAGATTTGAAATTTACAAAATCGAGAAATCAAAACATCAACGAATCAAAAAATCAAAAAATTGAAAAATCGAAATAGCTAAAGATCGAAAAATGGGAAAATTTAAAATTGAAAAATGTAAACTTAAAAGACCCGATAAATCGAAAATTTGGAAAATCAAAATATCGAAAAACTGAAAAATTAATTCCGAAAAATTGAAAAATCGAAAAATCTATAAATGACAAAACAAAAAATCGCAAGACTGAGAAATCGAAACAACAAAAAAAAAGAAAAATCTAAAATTTAAATATTTAAACATAAAAGACCCGATAAA